TGATTTCAATAAGTCAATTTAAATTAATCTGTATTTTAAAAAATTATAATGATAAAAAATCTAATAAAAGCGAGTAGCGCATAAAAAGGTACCCATAGTCTTATAGAGAGAAGACTATTCACTAGTTTTATGAGAAGACTAGAGTGAGGGCGTAACGGTACCATGGAATGCCCCGCTGACAGCTGTCTGTAGGCATTTCTAAGAAACATCTACGTGGTCTGCAGCCACTACAAAATAACAGGTAGTGAATATTGGGTGTTATTTATATGTATAGCAAGTAGGGGCAAGAGAACCGTTGAAGATACATATGATGCATAGCAAGTAACGACAAGAGAATCGTTGAAGATGCACAGGAGGTAATAAGGGAGATTACAGATTGTGTTTGGAAATAGTACTAAGTGAATGTGGATGTGAAAGTTGTGTGATTGTGAGATATGACATATTAAGCTGATTGAAATTTGGATAGTAAATGGATTGAAATTATTACTATTAAGATTGGAATTTAGATAATAAGATTGACATTTGGATATTAAGCTGATAGAAATGTGGATAACAACATTGAAATATGGATAAAAAGCTGATTGAAAATTGAATAATAAGATTGAAAATGAGCTATAAATGACTGAGTGATTGAGAGCTGTTAGGGGACTAGCTCCAGTGTGAATATGGAGTGACTGTGAGCTGAGTTTTCCAGTTCTGTGTGCTGATTTATACCATTATCTACGTTATGTACAGGTAGAGGATAACATGTCTCAGAGGATGTCTCGATTAGTAACGAGGATAACATGTTTAGATTACATGTCTCGTCAATAACGAGGATAACATATCTCTGAGGGTAACATTACTCATTTTTTGTGATTACACGAGGATAACATGTCTCATCAGTGGAGTTTGATGTATAACGTTATTATGTGTGTGGCGATATGAATGAAGAGTATTATTCCCGAATATGCTGTTAAATAGAACTACTGTAAATATCTAAACCCCTGTATGAATAGAACACTAGTCTGAAGGAGGAATTTGTGATGTAACACAAATATATAATGGGTTACTAGATAAAGTAACATAATATTGAGTATAATGGGTTATGATGATGATCTGATGAAGTAACAATAGAAAAATAATAATAAATATACAACTTGCACACCCACACGTAGACGTACGTAAGTGGTGTAAAAAGTATTCTTTAATTTTTCCCTTTTTCTCCCCAATTTCGTGGTATCCAATTGGTAGTTACAGTCTTGTCCCATCGTAAGGACACGGTAGAGGCGAAGGTCGTCCTCCGAAACACAACCCAACCGAGCCGCACTGCTTCTTGACACAGTGCCCACTTAACCCGGAAGCAAGCCACACCAATGTGTCGGAGGAAACACTGTACACCTGGCGACCGAGTCAGCGTGCACTGCGCCCGGCCCGCCACAGGAGTCGCTAGTGCGCGATGGGACAAGAACATCCCTGCCGGCCAAACCCTCCCCTACCCTGGACTAATTGTGCGCCGCCCCATGGGTCTCCCGGTCGCGGCCGGCTGCGATAGAGCCTGGACTCGAACCAGGATCTCTAGTGGCACAGCTAGCACTGCGATGCAGTGCCTTAGACCACTGCGCCACTCGGGAGGCCCTTGTGTAAAAAGTATTCTGAGAAATGTTCAGAGTGGTCCCTTTATGGATCATTTGAGGTATGATAAGGTTCAAGCATTGTACGGGACTTCACTTACCCCTAACCAATACAACTATAAATAGAACCAATGATTTTCTGCTAACTAAAAGTAAGGCTACAATTTATTGTACTCCCGATGGAGTTTTTGTTGATATCCCAAATGATGACGTTCTAAACCAATTCGTGAGTAGGCAAAATGGAGACTGCATCTGTTTCCCTGCCTATGCTGTCTCAGGTTCCAGACTTATTATGGACGGAGCGCACCATCTACTGGGGACTGAGACAGTGCCAACCCAGTTAATACATATTGATCCCTCCAAAGCATTACACATTAATCTTAAAATAATAGACATTTAATAAATATTGAAGCAGAAAGTGAATATCCAACAGAGATTGGTAATAAAAATATAGAGTAATTTTTTGAAGGTATACTCAAATGAAAACAATGCCTTCCAATATGGAGAAAGTTATGTTTGTTTTGTTTTAAACCTTGCAATAGGGGGAAAAGCAGAATGTTGTTTGAGAGTGATCTGTGTGTTTAAGCAGTAGTGATTGAGGTATTCCTATTGGGAAGGGAGTCCAAGTTGAGGGAAACAGATATGGAGACTAGTGAAAGTAACAAAGTGAATGGTAATTGGCTTTCAGATAGCAATCCAATAATGCAATATCTTAGTAATTTGAAGAAGTAAGACAGAGGGATTGAGCATTGCGACTTCAATTAGAGGCCGCTCACTCTTCAAGGCCTGGTCCACTGCTCTCGTGTTTAAGTCATCTGTTGTTTGTGATTTAAGTTAAGCTTCCTGTGGAACAATAGATAGCCGCCAGTACACACTGAACTCAAACAGGCTGTAAGAGAGACAGTGGGAAATTTGGGACAGAGGTGAATAATTGAATAAGACACGTTTTTGACAATTTATTTCTCAATTCTATAGTTTGGGTAGCACCAGGGATTTAAGTAAGAAGGTAATGTCATCTAAAACAATAATCTGTTTCCATTACGTGGAACTGTGTCCAGAATGAAGTAGATCCAATTAAATGTTTTAGTACCAAATATTGAGCTGATAAGCCAGCACCAACTTTTTGAAGGTCCTAGCAGATTTGTTAAACAGGTTTTATATTTTGACTAAGTTTATGTCCCTGGAACAGTTTGTACAGAATTGTATTTCAATGCAACAGGTCAAACTGACAATGTTTACTTTAGAAGGTGCCTATTCAGCTTGACAAGACACTATCATCTGATGTGTCTGAAGTATAATTCTGTATACAACTGATGGAATGTCCGCTACCAAGGTTTTTTTTTCATGTTTATCAATGATTCTGTATCTCCCCCTTTGAAAGGCTTCCTACGGCAAGTGCATTGGGAGAGCAGTTAAAGGTACCCGGATCCAGATGTTAAGGGAGCTCCCAAATTAAGTAAGGCCTGGCCATTTTGATTGTTTTTACCCTATGATTTTTACTAAATACACGCCAGCACCCACACACAACCCACCTGTTAATGAATATTTGTTAGTGGTGTTAATACTGATTCATGGTGTGGGGTCTTTTTATTTGGTTTTAGTGGGTTTTTCACGGGCTATAAAGGATGCAACTTAAAGGGTACACAAATGACATTTTTGGAAGTCTCTATTGTCAGAGTTCTAGTTGCACACATGTAAATTCTCTTGATAAGAAATATACTGAAAAACCCAATGTAAACCTAATACACAAATAATGTCTGAGGTACAGGAAAACAAACACACACTTAATAGGGCTGACTGACCTTTGACCTGACTTCCTGGTGAGGCCTGATCACCTTCACTAGAAAGACTGGAGACATTCGGTAAGACTTAAATGGGCTATGTAAACACTAATAATTAGAAGAAGTTTATAATTTATCAATAGTCCTATGTGTGATTCGGACCACGAGAAGGACAGAGAGAGAGCGCTGCCCCTGAATGAGGGACACCTGTCTCTAGTCTATTTTACCATTACCTTATGGGATAAAATTATTTCCTCATGGAGTTATCAAGAGTTGTAATTCTAATTTGATTTGTTTATGTAACCATACCAAACATAACATATCATACTAAATGTGCGTCTCAGATTTACATACAGAATAATACGAAATGCTCTGAGACCAGGTTGATATCCCAGGCATCTTATCCTGGTTCCACATAACCAGGATACAAGCTTTTTCGGGTTATTGTAAATGGGATATGACGTTTATATGCGTCAACTCAAAAACAGAATACTTTAGTATCCCGAACAGCAGTAGTGCGTGGGTAAAATCACTGGGGAAGCCAAGCCAGGAAAAAAAAGCCATATTACAACCTATGTGTTGTGATAATTGCTCTATAACCTGTTAGTTCATATGCCTTGCGACCGTGATGTATAGGCTTAAGGCCGAGACAATAAGACACAGTGGCAAAATAAATTCAACCAAACCTTTGTTTCATCACAAAACCGGAGAGCAACCTCTGTCCAGTGAAGTCCACAAAGCATATTGCATGTAACAAACAGTTACATGACCTACAGCATGTTCAAGCAAGTTAATGTTTCCGACAGTTTTCGGACTACTAAACAACTATTGATTTAGAACCACGGAGAGTAACCGCAAGTCGCAAAGAAAACAGGAGCTGCCTCCGCTATTCCAGCACCAGTTCAACATCATCAAATCACCTATGCTTAGTCTAACACAGTGACAACTGAAAGATACAAAAAAACAATTCAGTCCAATCAATGTAAGCCTCAATATGATGTAGCTGTCCATGGTTCTGATTTCTGTGTGTGTGTGTGTGCGCGTTCGTGCAAGTAAAGAAAACATGTTGACTCAGCCTACTTGTACCCTAAACCCTATCATAACCCTAACCATTTTCCAACAAATAGAACAATGAGCCAGATATTTCACCGGATCTATAAATGTGAAGCATCCGGTTGGTGTTTCCACTCACTAACAAATATGGTGATGAGAGGAAGCCCAATGGCAAGCAGTGGGAGAAGATGTAGCTAGATCGATTTTGGCTGACATTCTGCTAATTGTCTTATCGATTAAACAAACATTTGATCTCCATACAGTTTTGTGTTTCCAAAACTAGAATATGTATATAAATGCTAGAACGCGCCAATAGGATCTCACTAGCTTGTGCTTGGCTCTGCCCACCTCCTTGCTTGTTCTTGGGTTAGTTATAAACACCTTTGATTTTACATTTCAACTTCAATGGGGTAGGGACGTCCCAAGGATTCCGAATAGCACGGACAGGAAAATATCAACTCTTGACTTCCGTTTTAGTCCCTGAACCGGTATACATGTATCGATTTGTTGACTTAAATATCTGTCACTCATTAATTTGAGGCGTCCTATTGGCGCGAGATCATGGGCATAGGCGGATGTTATCAGCGTGGCACACTGTCGGGGGTGGGTTGAAGGGTCGGACAGGAAAAGAAAAAGAAGGCGAGGACATCTGTAACGAAAACGGTAATAAAACGAGTAGCTAAATGTAGCCTATTTTAACATCTTTATTATTGATCACCTTGAAAAGAGACCATTTATAAACTAAATGTTTGAATGAGGCGTTAAACGTGTTTTCTGTAGCCAAGATGACATTAGGCCAGAGAAACATATTAGCCAGCGACGTTGATGCCGGAAACGAACGAACAATTGAAGTGAAAAGACTCGTTTCAGACAACACCAGTCAGAGCTAGACAGGCCAATGCTAGATAGCTAGCAGGTCATCATAGTCATGTATACAGTGCCATCATTACCATTGTGAAGTTAGTAACACATCCCTGGTCAGCTAGCTAGCTATTCTTCGCCCCTGTAGTAGTGGACAAGCTCTCTAAGCTAACTAACTAGGTTAACTATCTATCCTAGCTTTCTAGCTAACTCGCTAGCTACCACTGACATGACAAGTGACTTGGCCGGTTTCATAACCGTCGTCCACCTATCCGCACTTGCTATACTGGGCGTTTTTAAATGAGAATCATTGTAACTAACTAACTAACGTTATTTGTTTGTCCAACTAGCTACAGTAGTTATCTAGCACTGATTTGAGTTTACGTGAAGAGGGGGAAATTAGCCATCTAGCTAATAGAGCTTGGGTGCGGCTAACCCAGTCATAGACGAACTACCTTTAGCGCCTATTGACGATAGTATCTTCTGCCAGGCCTGGGGGGAGTTTTGTTAAGATCCCCAACGCTCATTCTGAATGTTAAAACGCATCGCTTGCGGTATAGGTTTTGGAAGCTGTACTTGTGCTATCTAGCGTGCTCTGAACACCTGTGTGTAAATGGGTAGGAAGTGTAGTTCGTCAACTGGAGGCACACACAGTATAGGTCTGTGCAAAAAAAATTAAAATGATATGAAATATAGGGGCAAATCAGCATGTTTCGAAAACCGTTTAGCAAGAGATGATTTGACGTTTCTAAACGTTAAAACAGCGTGGGCGAAGCTAACCGCTGAAAATCCTACGGAGAAGGGTTTTTGAGATAGTTAAGGTGCAGGTGTTGTTGTTGAGGACATGCGTCCATGTGGTGGCTAGCTGGATGGCAATCAAAGGGTCTTCTGCAGGTAGTCTGCCCTTGTTTAGTGATGATAGTGTCAATGTTTTTAGGTATTATGGGTCATTCCATGTGAAAATTGAATAAACATTCCCACGAATGTATTTTCCTGAAATTCAGTAGGCTTATTGAGAAATAATTAATCAAAGTTTGGTTACTATAAATGTATGGGGTTACAGGCCTTGAACACTATGGACTGGTTTCATGGACTCAGATTAACCCTAGTCCTGGACTGAAAAGCACTGTGCAATGTAGATCCTTCATTGAATGCTCTTCTTAGTCAAGGAGGACTAGGCTAAATCTGTGTGTGGGGAAACTGGCACCATGGTAATATTCCAGATGCACAGAATCTGTAGCCTAACTCTGTAATCACTGGAGCTGAGGTTGGTGGCTGGCTTTCATAGGTCCTTTGGTGGGGGGTATGGGTTTGATGCATTTAGGAGGCTTAGCCCCAAATTAAGTTCATTAACAGGAGGGAACCAGGGTTTCCATTAGCCATAATAGAAAGCCGATAAATAAAATTGGCACCAGCCAATTGCCTGTGAGAAGAAAAAATTGGCGTGTGTATATTCGTTATGTATCTTATTTATCACACGTGCACAACATACCGATACAGAGCCTTTGACATGTACATATTACCTAAATTACCTTGACTAACCAGTGCCCCTGCACATTGACTATGTACCGGTACCCCCTGTTTATAGCCTCCCTACTGTTATTTTATTTTACTGCTGCTCTTTAATTATTTTGTATTTGTATTTTTTACTTATCTATTTTTTACTTAACCAACAATGCAGTTAAGAAAAAATTTGTTAAGGGCTTGTAAGTAAGCATTTCACTGGAAGGTCTACACCTGTTGTATTCGGCGCATGTGGCAAATACAATTTCAATTGATCTGTCAGACAGTGCTTTTATAAGCCCAATCATTGCGCAACAATTCTAAATGCAATAGTTTATTTCTCAACTGGTAATTGAAGCGCGCTTCCCATTCGCCATTCAAAATCATAGGCAACAGAAGCCAAGCTTCATCAGCGCGTCACACACCGCTTTGCAATGAGCTGGAGGCAGTATGCATTTTGAAAACATATAGCTACTTAATTGTTTGAAACCTGAACGTTTTACTTCATATTATGAGGCATGCTTTAAAGTATACCTTGCTTCAAAGTAGCCTAGGCAAAATCCGACCATATCCGTGGAGGAAACTATTTTATAGACTTCCATAGGCCATTGAAACCAGTAGCCTATTTCGCTCATGTTCTATTGGTTTTCAACATTTTTTTCATTTTCCGGTAGCCAAATGTACATTTGCATGAAGCCTACTGCCTTGTGCACATTTCTGTGCTAATAATGTTAAGACATAGTAGTTTATCAACATTTTAAGCTAAACTTTCTGATCTGTTGCATCAGATTAATTGCTTTTTAATGTTGTTGTTTTTTATGTTGCCTAGGCCTACTGATTTGTAAGAATTTGGGATCTATCATCCTACAACTGTCCCAGAGTCTGTTTGGGCTATTTATTTCTCAACAAGCTGACCAATAGAATAGGTCAACTTTTTACTATGGGAGATAGTAGATTGACATGGGCTCACAGACGGCGCGTCCATAAGGCTAGGGGAAGCTTTCCCTGGGTAAATTGAATTAAATTGCCAAAATGACATAGCCTAATTAGCCTACTGTCTATACAAAAATAAATAAAACCATTCAAAATAGGCTACTAAAGCATGATTTGGCAACAGCAGATCATTAGCTTCCCCTAGCCTTAAAAAACAATAAAAGTTGTGTATTGTTTTAAATTGCATTGCCTACAATCGAAAGGAAAGGCAGCGCGCGCAGCAAATACCAAATAGATAGTTGTTGAGTTGTGACTGTCAGTGAAAAGTAGAGGCCCAGCCAGGCATATCGCAATATTTAAAAATTAAATCACGGGAACGGAAAAGGCTATTGGAGTATTTTCATTGTCTTCTCTTTACAGCAATCTGTTTTTTAGTTATCAAAATTCTCAACTTAATTGAGCAAACAGTAGGCCTATAGCCTATCTTATTGGCACCAGCTGAGAGCATCGGCCATATCCCTGGTGAGTGCGCACTGCATATATTCACTACCATTGTTGGGTCAGTGCCACTTAAGTTTGTTTTTGGACAATAATTTCGTCCTCCAGTTTAGATGGACGTCATATTATATTTGTGTCTCCAATTCTCGTAGGCCTATTATATGGCAATGTCGTTTTTATTGATCCGTTTGTCAGTTGAGTAGGCTACCCTGTAATATGTCCTAAAAAAAATCTGCTGTCTCCAGTCATATAAAGTGTAGTAGAATTGCATGAAATGTATTTTTCCCTAGTAAAGAAATAAGAAACGTATCTGATATAGCCTATAGCCCAGGCCTCTACGCGCTCAGCCATGCATTGAACGGTATTTTTGGCGAACAGTGATTTAATTATATTATTAGCCTAAATTATGACTATCCTATCTACTCATCACATTACGAATAGTAGGCTATTTTGCTGTTCGTTACTCGTCTTGTTGGCTGAGGAAAGGTAAATGTGGACAGTTATTCTAACATCTTCAAAGTGCATGGTAAGAACACGCTCAATTTGCATGTTCTGTTAAGATTAATTACCATCATCTAAATGTGACTTCTGTCATTCTGAGCTCCATGGGTGGACACCCTAATCCAGTTACGCATCCAATGCATATGGGTCCGGTGAATTTCTCAAATGTCCGGTAAATTAAAACGCTGCCAGTCAAATGCCCAGAGCCACATTTTCATAATGAAAACCCTGGTAGGAACACTCTTTCTGCACTCGGGGTGCACGCAACAGGCACCGTAGTGGTCCCATTGAACCATGGTTCGGTTCACATTCAAAGGCCGCTGGATAAAATGCAGTCCAGTCCGACACAGGAAATGCTTTGTACAGTATTATAGATTGTAGACTGAGTGGGCAATCGACAAAATGGCTCACAGACTTACTTGGAGCCAAAATGAGTGCTGCATTCCAATTTTCTACCCTCTGCCTTAAGTGTGCACTTATTCAATAGCCTTCATGGATTTAAAAGGAGAGCACTGGTGGCTTACTACAATCCAATGCTTTTATGTGTTGGGAGGAATGCAAGAGGTAGAATTGGGACGCAACCAAGGTTAAATGTCTATTGGAAATATGGGCTGATGAAAACGTTAGGCCAACTCAGTCAGTGCCGATGAGTTCCAGAACACTGACCACATATTAATAGAGTATGCAATGTAGGTCAAGCAATGCATTTCCTTCTCCATCCGCATTACCTTGTATGCATCCTCCACATGTGCCGTTTAGCTAGCTAATCATTTACAATGGGAAAATAAGTTATGTTTCTTCACCTGTCTGTATATTTATTTTTTATTTTTTACTAACTCAATAACTTGAAAGCCCTGATTTGCTAAGGTAATTTTAAGATGTCAGGCTTGAAAATCCATTGAGCCATTTTGGCACAGTGACTCACTACCCAAACCAGACGCAACTGGTTTCAAGTGGCCAAGAGATGTCATGTAATCTCCTACTGCTATCTAGTGGAAGAACTGGGAATCAGACGGAGGATATATTTAAATAAATGGATAGGTAGAGACTTCAGCTTTCTACTCATATGTACAGTATATCATTCCTGTAAGACGACGGTATAGCACGTTACAAAAGCCCTGCACTTTTAAAATGTCTGTGTACCAATGGGAATTTGCGCATGATTAGACCATCATTAGGTAAAAGATCTGATCTTTTTTTTTTGGAACAGTAATTGGTGACATTTTCTCAAACCTAGACTTTCAAATCTCTTATTCCCCAACATGGGGACAATTGGGGGGACCCCACCCCACTAAAAAAGAACCCCCGGTAAATGTCAGTTTTGTTTGGTCTGCTGTATCTCGGGCTCTGTAGTAGTAGTTACATTGTTTCTGACCCCTTTATCTGAGTCCCACAGTTCTTACCTTTCTAACAGTTTTTGTAGGACTTAGTTTTGAAAACAATTTACTTTTAGGGTAGTATACAATATTATGCGTCGTTTAGAAAATGCCACCAGAGGGGGTCAGAGTAACAGTTTAACACTGTATGAACACATTTGTTTACACATTTTAATTCGCTTGGTTGTACTATATTATCACTAAAACTCAAAATAGTTTTTCTAAGAAAATGTTGCCACTTTTGGTGGATTTGCACTTTAACTGAGAAATTTTCTTGCAGATGGCTGCGATCCGTAAGAAACTGGTGATTGTTGGTGATGGTGCTTGTGGAAAGACCTGTCTGCTCATAGTCTTCAGTAAAGACCAGTTCCCTGAGGTCTACGTACCTACAGTGTTTGAGAACTATGTGGCAGATATTGAGGTGGACAGTAAGCAGGTGAGTTTGTACTGTTAGTCACACAGTATGCTATCAAGACATAATTTAAAGCACCATTTTTATGTTGAAGTCTTATAGTTTTCACCTTTTCTCCAGAACAAGTTAGTTTTTGGCCAAACAGCAGTGTATGCACTCACTACTGTAAGTCGCTCTTAATAAGAGTGTCTGCTAAATGATTAAAATTTAACTGAATTTCTGCTCTCCGTGTGGCTTCTAGGTGGAACTGGCCCTCTGGGACACAGCTGGACAGGAGGACTACGACAGACTACGGCCTCTCTCCTACCCCGACACTGATGTCATCCTCATGTGCTTTTCCATAGATAGCCCTGACAGCTTGGGTAAGACATTGGGGACTGTAATGTTAATATTTGTCATGTGTGGTAAATGCAACAAATCGTCCCGTTTCACTTGCAGCATTTTCCTAAAATGATCCCCTGTGTCTGAAACAGAGAATATCCCAGAGAAGTGGACCCCTGAAGTAAAACACTTCTGTCCAAATGTGCCCATCATTCTTGTGGGTAATAAGAAGGACCTGCGGAATGACGAGCACACACGTCGGGAGCTAGCAAAAATGAAGCAGGTACAGTATGCATCATAAAAATGTATTATTTAATTTCAGCAAATTGACTCATTGTCCTGATCCAGTCAGGATATTTCTGAAATGTAGCATTGAAACTAAACAAACCATTGACATTTGTTTTCATATGGTTGTGTTGCCTCCGCTACCTTCACTTCATGTATTGTCTGCTATTGTCTAAATCTACACAGGTTGAGGTTTTTGTTTTGTTCAGTTATCCAACATGCTAGTTACGTTTTTCTTTGGCTTGTTATGATTGGTGGTTAAGTATGTCACAGGATGCCAACCATAGCATACCTCTGAACACTTTTCCACCTCTGACACATGAACAGGAACCAGTGAAGCCAGAAGAGGCCCGGGACATGGCTAACCGCATCAACGCGTTTGGCTACTTGGAGTGCTCGGCCAAGACGAAAGACGGCGTGAGGGAGGTGTTTGAGATGGCCACCAGGGCCGCACTGCAGGCCAAGAAACGCGGAAAGAAGAATGCCTGCCTCCTGCTATAGAGAGCTGGGGAAAGACGGGAGCGGGAAGGAAGGGGGAAACAAATCGGGCTGAAGAAAACGCTGCACCCCTCTTCTAAGTCTGCCTCTGTGGAAGGGTGGGTGAGTTTCAAGGGGGGTGCGAGGGAGAAAAACATAATTAAACTAGGCCAAAGGAAATGGAGAATATGAAGGTTAAATGTAATGAAAAGGGGAGTTTACATTTAAGGCCAAGGTGATTGCCAATCGGTTTTCAATGTAAGATTATTGTATGGTTAAGATTTTTTAAATTGGGTCTTGGACGAGTAGAAGGTAAAGAAAAAACACAATATCTCTCCGGTAAACTTGTCAGAGTGATGATCTCTGAGGGACGGGATAAGATTGGTGTTCATGATAGGGTGTTCACCACAGAGCTATTGCCCTGGTTCATAGAGCTGAGCATCGTCAGAGAAAAAGGGGGTTTCATTGCATCATGGTGCATGTTCTCCCAACTCTGTGACCTCCCTGGCTTGCAGTGTGTCTGTCTGCGCTTGTCTTTCATTTCTGTCCAGCCGTACCATAGGTGTTTATTTTCTTTGTTCTCCCTATGGATAGACTAACCCCATCCTTGCGCGGACCAGCATCTCCTTCTATGGTATCATAATCTTGCGTGGACCAGCACCTCCTATGATATCATTGGTCAAATAGTATAGTTAATTTGATAAAAGCAATTTTGATTTTAAATAGCTACATGTTTTTATTTGCCTTTGACTATACAATTCATATTAAAATGCAAACAATAATAATGATACTAACTGATTTTTGTAAGCCTGTTCATGTATTGTAATAAAAAATGATTTTAGAATTTGATTTTATCATTAGTTGGCCTCTAGTCAGATATTATACATTTGGTGCGGCCTGTCAGACACTGGTTTGAAAGGGGGTTATGACTTTGTATTAAGTGATAAAGGTTTTGCAAATTTTGTATTTTCCTCTTGCAGATTGTTTTTGCCTGCATGCCAGGCTGTTATTGGGAGTGGGTTTTTAATGTTGACCTATTTCTCACTCCTTCCATGTCTTTCTAAAACTGTTGATGTCTTCCCTTTTTTTTTGTCTCTTGTACTGTATGTTTAACCTTGTGAGAGTCTACTGGCTTATCCTGTATCAGTTGTGCATATTTTGCAAAAACAAGTAACTTTAGAATGAAAGAGTTTTAAAATAACATGTAAAATGCTTAGTAATTCATTAAAGATTATGACAAGATGTCATACTATTAAACGCAAGTAACCTTATTTAAAAAATATTTTAGTCATTTGTGGGGGGGTGGTCTTTTGTATACAAATGCATCCTCACATGTCCGCAGTCCTCTTTTTAAAAGTACTCAAGAAAATAAATTGTTATAGGGAATGATTGGTTGTCGTTCTTTCATGCTTCATGCCTCTCAACACAAAATCTCAAGATGTGAATGGCATTTATTCACAATTCTCAGTTACAAAACATTACAAGAACTTCAACATTTGACAGAATAGATCAAGGCATCTAGAAAGGAGTGCATCTCCTTACCATCCCTCATGTAACTTCCATCTTTCTCACTTAAGTATTTACAAAGTGTGGTGGAGTCCGGCAACAAACTCCTGGTAATAGGGCTCTGAAAAAAAAGAGATTTGTCTTGAATCTTCTGTTGTTGGTGTTTAAAGAATTGACAATTGCACTACTGTTCATAGTTTTTATGGTGTGGCTGCGGATCCGACTTTTACTGGACCTCTCTTCCCGACAGTTAAGGTATGAGAGGGCCTCATGCGGGATACTCTACATACAGTGGGGGAAAAAAGTATTTAGTCAGCCACCAATTGTGCAAGTTCTCCCACTTAAAAAGATGAGAGAGGCCTGTAATTTTCATCATAGGTACACGTCAACTATGACAGACAAATTGAGAGAAAAAAATTCCAGAAAATCACATTGTAGGATTTTTTATGAATTGATTTGCAAATTATGGTGGAAAATAAGTATTTGGTCACCTACAAACAAGCAAGATTTCTGGCTCTCACAGACCTGTAACAACTTCTTTAAGAGGCTCCTCTGTCCTCCACTCGTTACCTGTATTAATGGCACCTGTTTGAACTTGTTATCAGTATAAAAGACACCTGTCCACAACCTCAAACAGTCACACTCCAAACTCCACTATGGCCAAGACCAAAGAGCTGTCAAAGGACACCAGAAACAAAATTGTAGACCTGCACCAGGCTGGGAAGACTGAATCTGCAATAGGTAAGCAGCTTGGTTTGAAGAAATCAACTGTGGGAGCAATTATTAGGAAATGGAAGACATACAAGACCACTGATAATCTCCCTCGATCTGGGGCTCCACGCAAGATCTCACCCTGTGGGGTCAAAATGATCACAAGAACGGTGAGCAAAAATCCCAGAACCACACGGGGGGACCTAGTGAATGACCTGCAGAGAGCTGGGACCAAAGTAACAAAGCCTACCATCAGTAACACACTATGCCGCCAGGGACTCAAATCCTGCAGTGCCAGACGTGTCCCCCTGCTTAAGCCAGTACATGTCCAGGCCCGTCTGAAGTTTGCTAGAGTGCATTTGGATGATCCAGAAGAGGATTGGGAGAATGTCATATGGTCAGTTGAAACCAAAAAAGAACTTTTTGGTAAAAACTCAACTCGTCGTGTTTGGAGGACAACGAATGCTGAGTTGCATCCAAAGAACACCATACCTACTGTGAAGCATGGGGGTGGAAACATCATGCTTTGGGGCTGTTTTTCTGCAAAGGGACCAGGACGACTGATCCGTGTAAAGCAGGGTTCTTCAATTCCGGTCCTGGAGGGCCGAAACACTTCTGTTTTTTATTTCTACCTGGCAGTTAATTGCACTCACCTGGTGTCCCAGGTCTGAATTAGCCCCTGATTAGAAGGAGAGGATGAAAAACAGAGGTGTTTCGGCCCTCCAGGACCGGAATTGAAGAACCCTGGTGTAAAGGAAAGAATGAATGGGGCTATGTATCGTGAGATTTTGAGTGAAAACCTCCTTCCATCAGCAAGGGCATTGAAGATGAAACGTGGCTGGGTCTTTCAGCATGACAATGATCCCAAACACACCGCCCGGGCAACGAAGGAGTGGCTTCGTAAGAAGCATTTCAAGGTCCTGGAGTGGCCTAGCCAGTCTCCAGATCTCAACCCCATAGAAAATCTTTGGAGGGAGTTGAAAGTCTGTGTTGCCCAGCGACAGCCCCAAAACATCACTGCTCTAGAGGAGATCTGCATGGAGGAATGGGCCAAAATACCAGCAACAGTGTGTGAAAACCTTGTGAAGACTTACAGAAAACATTTGACCTGTGTCATTGCCAACAAAGGGTATATAACAAAGTATTGAGAAACTTTTTATTGACCAAATACTTATTTTCCACCATAATTTGCAAATAAATTCATTAAAAATCCTACAATGTGATTTTCTGGAGAAAAAATATCTAATTTTGTCTGTCATAGTTGACGTGTACCTATGATGAAAATTACAGGCCTCTCATCTTTTTAAGTGGGAGAACTTGCACAATTGGTGGCTGACTAAATACTTTTTTTCCCCACTGTAGATGTTTTTTTTCTTACATAGCTGCTGCTCACACTGCTGCCGCTTCCCCCTCCTGATCGGACGTCTTTTTGTGGTGTAGTCTACAAACTTTGACGTGTTGTACAACACTGTCTGTTGTAACAGTAGGCTATTGCAAACAAAAGCACGACACAAACAGGCAGTCTAAGAAGCGATTCCATGTTCTTTTTTCAGGAGGGAGTACATGCAGCTATTTAGGCATATCAAACAAGGAAGACACAGGCAGTCTAAATAGCGATTTTAATATTTTTTTAATTGTCCTTGCGGCAGACTGATCACTGGAATTCATTGGCATGTTGTCATTGTCAAACTGCTTACCAGCTACACACTTCAGCTGCCTATAACGTTCAAAGGTGGAACAGCTACTCTGGCAAATTTCAATCACATCCTGTGGTACTTGCGAAATAACAGTTGTAACCTGTTACGCAGATTGTTTTGCCCCAATGCAAAACTCAGGTGGGGAGTTCACCATCATTGCAAGCATCAGCAAAACAGGTGGCAGTCGTAGTGTTATTTCTTAGCTACGATATGGCAGCGTAACTATAAAGATTAGACTACATCATCACAAATATACAGTGTGGTTAAGACAGATCCCCAGCCTCTGCCTAGTTTTTATAACTATGTTATCCCATGTAATTGATTGATGTACTGATACAAACCTGTGTCAGGCTGTATGTAGGAGTGTCTGATGAGGAAGTCTAGGACCACCATGGCACAGTTGGGCTTGAAGTCGTCACTGACCAGCACTTCCTTCAACTGAAAACAACATTGTAGGCCTACTTGAATTCATTATTCGTGGGCCAGACATAAAAACTATCATGCAGTACTGGAGGTGCTCAAAAGTAGAGTGCCTGACCTTGTCCATGGAGTAGAGGTAGAAATCTTGCACCTCCCCATCCCCTATTCTAGGCTTGAACTCAGGAGGTAGCTCTAAGTCGAACACAAACTGGCTTTCTGGAAACACCCCCTCCTCATCCTCATAAGTATAGCTATGAGAGAAGACACAGGGATGATTGAAATAATGTGGATAAGATTGTAGGCCTATGTAAAAGCATGCAAAGAGACATTCTCAATGAGACACTGCAGAGAGAGCAGGCTACTCCTGTTGAGTTGTCAATCACCTCACTGTGCTCACAGGGCGGGCAGTCTCTGCTATGTCTGCTGGGATGCAGGCCTCCTCCTCACACTCCTTGATCAGGGTGTTTTTCACACTGATACCTGCTGCTAGACCCCCAGCTGCCTGAAAACATGGTGGAAGAACATTATCAAACCACAGTTTGCCATTCACTAAAAATATGTACAGGTAATATGTCATCGGCTGTATTCTCTTTTTAAATAGGTGCTGACCAGGTTGTCCAGTTTTCCAGGGTAGGTTTGCTTGGTCATGGATCGTCGTCCCACCCACATCCTGAGTTCCCCATTTTCATCCTGACAGTACCCATTAATATGGACTCCATACCGTTTCACACCAAAAAGGCCTACAAAGACAATGTTAATGGGGCATGCAATGGCAGGGGCGAACACTGGGATTATTTTCTACTGTTATTGTTTAGGACACAACTTACTTGTGGCCGATCTCTCCATACACATTAGTGGAGTGTCGCAGAATCTGGGCATTACTTCATACTTCTATAGAAGAGGCACAAATATATAATTTCAAGGATTTGTAAAAAATAAAAATAAAAAAAGTAAACGTTTGTTTTCAGTTTTACAGTATTTTGTAGTACTCTCACCTAATCTCTCCATCCTTTCAAGACAGTCAATAAGCCTTCCCTCCTAAGTGACTGAAGAACAGAATCTACAGCCTCTGACCTCCTCCCATAGGAGTCAAGATTTTGGCACAGAGTAATAGCGCCGCCTTGTGGTGGATTGAAGACCTCTGGAAATTTACTCAAAATGGACGCCACTTTGGAAGGCACCCACCCAACTTGCTCTCCTCCCACTTCAAACCGAAGGCATGTGGTGCGACTGGAGCCTGGGTGACGCAAACAATATTTATGGTGCGAGAGAGATGTGTTGTAGTATAGGCTAGATAATGCCGCGTTCACGTGCTAGCCGGAACTAGGAAACTCGGAAATGTCCGACTTGCTAACTAGTTGTAGTTATAAGTCAGACATTTCAGAGTTTCCTAGTTCTGACTAGCACGTGAACGCGGCATAACATCTAATAATTTCGCTATCAAACACACATAGCTAGCTACAGCTGTCATTCACTTCCAGTCATCACAAATAGTTTTAACTCTAACCTGGCGAATAAAAGTTATTCATTCGGCGAAGCACCTGGAGCATTTTTTCCGACCAAGTAGTCATGATTTCGAGCCTATGTTTCTGGCATGAGTCCAATGCTTTTATGAAGGGTAAAAAATTAAACAACAATATGTTACGTTTTATTTAGCTAGCTACACAATATTTTCACTGTGGTTATGTTGCCGACGCCATGTTTCTTTCAGCCGTATATAATCGGCATGCGCACTGCACAAATCGACCACATGATTGTTCTTCTTCTGTGGATTTTATATGGCGGTTGGCAACCAACTTTAAGGTGCATTACCGCCACCAACTGGACTGGAGTGTGGACCAGAGACAGTGAAGGTCTAAATCCTACCCAATAATCTCGTCTCCCTAAGGAAACGAAATACATAATTAAATACTACATCCCCTGAAGATTTCCCCAGCAGTTCACTTAATCCTGGCTCTTCAACCCCATTACTCCTCAAATCTAATAACAATTGCTCCCTTTCTCTCACATATTTCTGGCACTGAAATAGAACATGTTCCACTGTCTCCATCTCCTCCTGACAATGATCACACCTCCCAGTCGGATGTTTCCCCACCAATTTCAATGTACTTGTGTTTCCCAGTCTCAGCCTTGTGACAACACTTTCCTCTCTTCTTTCTTCTCTCTCGGCCTGAGGACCTCCCTGCCCCCACCTTTTCATGGATCTTATACAGGTGTCTTCCCTTACTCTCCCTGTTCCACAACTCTTGCCACTTATTTTTAACCACTGTTCTTATTAATCCCTTAGCTTCTGCTTTACTGATTGACAATTCTATCTCAACATTAAGATGTTTAAGAGCCTGCTTGGCAATAATATCCACTTCCTCATTCCCTCTACTCCCACATGAGCTGGTACCCAGAGGAACATAACAAATACTGACATCTGTTTCACCCTATGCAAGCACTGCAAAACCTCATACAATACATCCTGTCTGATCTGAGACACACATGAATTTAAGCTCATCAGTGCTGCACAGGAGTCAGATTAGATGACTACCCTGACCACATTATTTGCTAAATTTCCATTGGTTGAAACCAGCTGCTGCAGCAGACGAGTCTGACGCACACCGATATTTGGACTCACAGGGCTGTGTGAGTGTGTGTGCGCACGCATGCGTGTGTTGCCGCTTTCAAAACAACTGGGAACTCGGAAATCTCAGATTTCAGTGCGTTTAATACAACTTTGAACTCTGAAAAAAACAAGCTCCGACTTGGCATTCCAAGTTGAACAGCCTTTCAACTCGGAATTCCATGTCGGAAATTAGGGCAGCTTTCTAGAGCTCTGACTTTCCGACCTGAAGATCACTGACATCATGAGTTGACCTTGTTTTTTTCTGAGTTCCCAGTTGTCTTGAAAGCACCATTAGTGTGTGCGTGTGTGTGTTTCACACAATGATAAAGTGATGCCTGGTGTTATGGTGCTTTCAAGACAACTGGGAACTCAGAAAGAGACTAGGTCAAATCATGAAAGGAAAGTCATCTTCAGGTTGGAAAGTCGGAGTTCTAGAGTTTCTGACTTGGAATTCTGAGTTGGATGACCATTCAAAACAAGTTTTTCCCAGTCGGAGCACGTTTTTTCACGAGTTCCCAGTTGTCTTGAACGCACTGAAGTCGGAAGTCGGAGATTTCTGAGTTCTCAGTTGTTTTGAACGTGGCATTAACCCTTGCCAATACCTTGGACTTTCTCACTCATCTAAAGAGCCTCACCAGGCCTACATTGTGCCCTTTATACAGCATCAACCCTGCGAGCTATTCCTTCGGCCCATTACAATATAATACAATAGGCTACGATACAATGTTGATAAGCAATTCTGCTGATATCAGTTTTATTGAATTGAAGACACTTACATCCGGATTACTGAAAATCTTTCTTTATTGAAAATATACAGTATTGTGGAGTATAGTGTTTACTCCCCTTTGTTAAGATTTTGAATAGAATAATCTAGGATTATTGGGGATTAAATACATTTATATTTAAGAAATTCACTTGAAGGACATAACAAGACCCCTTGTCTTTAAGGTCCCTAAATGAAGGGGATGATAGTGCTTTGGATAAAAACTGGACCACATACAAGATGTCAACCAAGGCCGATACACATTGAGGATGGATGCATGTGTTTAGTGGTAGATGGAGCCGAGCAGAAAGTGGCTTTTATTTCAATGTTTTCCAACTTGTTCAGGCAATGGTGTGACGGAGTGTCAGAGCTAAGAGGAGGTATGAGTATTTTCCCGGTCTGAAGGTCCATGAGTTTTGAGTCCTTTACTCAACCCCCTTCATAAATTCCAGGAACTCTATGGAAGAGAATGACACACAGAGCTCATGATGGAGCAGGAATAAAATGTCTTACTGACGGCCTGGATTTGAACTGTGAAAGGTTTGGCATGAATGGATAGCCTAGATGAGTGTCAAAACAATTAAATAATAGCACATTCTGGAAGTGCCAGCCTGATCTATAGGCTCAAATTTATTTGAGCACATTTATATTTGATATGTATTATTGACCGCAGTATTAATTTCTATTCACAGAAACAATGAGAATAGAAGGGTTCAGAACCTTTGTAAGACATCACAGTACAGTTGAAAAATATATGGCAAATAGAAATCCAATATGGATGGTGTTAAGAGATAGATGGGAGGTATTGAATGGAGTTGAAGGATGGGACTAATAGCTACTAACAACAACTAATAACAACAAGATAAGTAATGTAAAGCATACTGTGTCCATAATAAGTATATAGGTTATAGGTTGAGAGCTTTTGTGAAAGAGCACAGTGAGAAAGATATGGCATATACAGTGGGGAAAAAAAGTATTTAGTCAGACACCAATTGTGCAAGTTCTCCCACTTAAAAAGATGAGAGAGGCCTGTAATTTTCATCATAGGTACACGTCAACTATGACAGACAAAATGAGAAAATAAAATCCAGAAAATCACATTGTAGGATTTTCTATGAATTTATTTGCAAATTATGGTGGAAAATAAGTATTTGGTCATTAACAAAAGTTTCTCAATACTTTGTTATATACCCTTTGTTGGCAATGACACAGGTCAAACGTTTTCTGTAAGTCTTCACAAGGTTTTCACACACTGTTGCTGGTATTTTGGCCCATTCCTCCATGCAGATCTCCTCTAGAGCAGTGATGTTTTGGGGCTGTCGCTGGGCAACACGGACTTTCAACTCCCTCCAAAGATTTTCTATGGGGTTGAGATCTGGAGACTGGCTAGGCCACTCCAGGACCTTGAAATGCATCTTACGAAGGCACTCCTTCGTTGCCCGGGCGGTGTGTTTGGGATCATTGTCATGCTGAAAGACCCAGCCACGTTTCATCTTCAATGCCCTTGCTGATGGAAGGAGGTTTTCACTCAAAATCTCACGATACATGGCCCCATTCATTCTTTCCTTTACACGGATCAGTCGTCCTGGTCCCTTTGCAGAAAAACAGCCCCAAAGCATGATGTTTCCACCCCCATGCTTCACAGTAGGTATGGTGTTCTTTGGATGCAACTCAGCATTCTTTGTCCTCCAAACACGACGAGTTGAGTTTTTACCAAAAAGTTATATTTTGGTTTCATCTGACCATATGACATTCTCCCAATCCTCTTCTGGATCATCCAAATGCACTCTAGCAAACTTCAGACGGGCCTGGACATGTACTGGCTTAAGCAGGGGGACACGTCTGGCACTGCAGGATTTGAGTCCCTGGCGGCGTAGTGTGTTACTGATGGTAGGCTTTGTTACTTTGGTCCCAGCTCTCTGCAGGTCATTCACTAGGTCCCCCCGTGTGGTTCTGGGATTTTTGCTCACCGTTCTTGTGATCATTTTGACCCCACGGGGTGAGATCTTGCGTGGAGCCCCAGATCGAGGGAGATTATCAGTGGTCTTGTATGTCTTCCATTTCCTAATAATTGCTCCCACAGTTGATTTCTTCAAACCAAGCTGCTTACCTATTGCAGATTCAGTCTTCCCAGCCTGGTGCAGGTCTACAATTTTGTTTCTGGTGTCCTTTGACAGCTCTTTGGTCTTGGCCATAGTGGAGTTTGGAGTGTGACTGTTTGAGGTTGTGGACAGGTGTCTTTTATACTGATAACAAGTTCAAACAGGTGCCATTAATACAGGTAACGAGTGGAGGACAGAGGAGCCTCTTAAAGAAGAAGTTACAGGTCTGTGAGAGCCAGAAATCTTGCTTGTTTGTAGGTGACCAAATACTTATTTTCCACCATAATTTGCAAATAAAATCATAAAAAATCCTACAATGTGATTTTTTGGATATTTCCCCTTAATTTGTCTGTCATAGTTGACGTGTACCTATGATGAAAATTACAGGCCTCTCTCATCTTTTTAAGTGGGAGAACTTGCACAATTGGTGGCTGACTAAATACATTTTTTCCCCACTGTAGAAGCAAACCGGATGGACATCATGAAAATTATCGGAGCGGTTCAGGGTAGAGGAAGTTCAGGAGTAAAAACAAACAAAATTGAATTATTGTAAAATTGACTGTGTCCATAAAATTAATATACTATGTATAGGCTGGAAGTAGAGGCCTATCCATTGTTGTTCACTAGTTTAGTCCAACTAGGGAAGGGGTGGTGGGGTTGGAAAGTAATAAAGGGAAATATATATTTTTTTAAAGGATATGTATATATATGTATGTATATGTATTTATATGTATGTATGTGTATGTATGTACAGTGGGGAAAAAAAGTATTTAGTCAGCCACCAATTGTGCAAGTTCTCCCACTTAAAAAGATGAGAGAGGCCTGTAATTTTCATCATAGGTACACGTCAACTATGACAGACAAAATGAGGAAAAAAAATCCAGAAAATCACATTGTAGGATTTTTTATGAATTTATTTGCAAATTATGGTGGAAAATAAGTATTTAGTCAATAACAAAAGTTTCTCAATACTTTGTTATATACCCTTTGTTGACAATGACACAGGTCAAACGTTTTCTGTAAGTCTTCACAAGGTTTTCACACACTGTTGCTGGTATTTTGGCCCATTCCTCCATGCAGATCTCCTCTAGAGCAGTGATGTTTTGGGGCTGTCGCTGGGCAACACGGACTTTCAACTCCCTCCAAAGATTTTCTATGGGGTTGAGATCTGGAGACTGGCTAGGCCACTCCAGGACCTTGAAATGCTTCTTACGAAGCCACTCCTTCGTTGCCCGGGCGGTGTGTTTGGGATCATTGTCATGCTGAAAGACCCAGCCACGTTTCATCTTCAATGCCCTTGCTGATGGAAGGAGGTTTTCACTCAAAATCTCACGATACATGGCCCCATTCATTCTTTCCTTTACACGGATCAGTCGTCCTGGTCCCTTTGCAGAAAAACAGCCCCAAAGCATGATGTTTCCACCCCCATGCTTCACAGTAGGTATGGTGTTCTTTGGATGCAACTCAGCATTCTTTGTCCTCCAAACACGACGAGTTGAGTTTTTACCAAAAAGTTTCATCTGACCATATGACATTCTCCCAATCCTCTTCTGGATCATCCAAATGCACTCTAGCAAACTTCAGACGGGCCTGGACATGTACTGGCTTAAGCAGGGGGACACGTCTGTCACTGCAGGATTTGAGTCCCTGGCGGCGTAGTGTGTTACTGATGGTAGGCTTTGTTACTTTGGTCCCAGCTCTCTGCAGGTCATTCACTAGGTCCCCCCGTGTCGTTCTGGGATTTTTGCTCACCGTTCTTATGATCATTTTGACCCCACGGGGTGAGATCTTGCGTGGAGCCCCAGATCGAGGGAGATTATCAGTGGTCTTGTATGTCTTCCATTTCCTAATACGGTAATTGCTCCCACAGTTGATTTCTTCAAACCAAGCTGCTTACCTATTGCAGATTCAGTCTTCCCAGCCTGGTGCAGGTCTACAATTTTGTTTCTGGTGTCCTTTGACAGCTCTTTGGTCTTGGCCATAGTGGAGTTTGGAGTGTGACTGTTTGAGGTTGTGGACAGGTGTATTTTATACTGATAACAAGTTCAAACAGGTGCCATTAATACAAGTAACGAGTGGAGGACAGAGGAGCCTCTTAAAGAAGAAGTTACAGGTCTGTGAGAGCCAGAAATCTTGCTTGTTTGTAGGTGACCAAATACTTATTTTCCACCATAATTTGCAAATAAATTCATTAAAAATCCTACAATGTGATTTTCTGGATTTTTTTTCCTCAATTTGTCTGTCATAGTTGACATGTACCTATGATGAAAATTACAGGCATCTCTCATCTTTTTAAGTGGGAGAACTTGCACAATTGGTGGCTGACTAAATACTTTTTTTCCCCACTGTATATGTATATACAGTTGAAGTCGGAGGTTTACATACACCTTAGCCAAATACATTTAAAGTCAGTTTTTCACAATTCCTGACATTTAATCCTAGTAAAAATTCCCTCTCTTAGGTCAGTTAGGATCACCACTTTATTTTAAGAATGTGAAATGTCAGAATAATAGTAGAGAGAATTATTTATTTCAGCTTTTATTTCTTTCATCACATTCCCAGTGGGTCAGAAGTTTACATACACTCAATTAGTATTTGGTAGCATTGCCTTTAAATTGTTTAACTTGGGTCAAACGTTTCGGGTAGCCTTCCTCAAGCTTCCCACAATAAGTTGGGTGAATTTTGGCCCATTCCTCCTGACAGAGCTGGTGTAACTGAGTCAGGTTTGTAGGCCTCCTTGCTCACACACGCTTTTTCAGTTCTGCCCACACATTTTCTACAGGATTGAGGTCAGGGCTTTGTGATGGCCACTCCAATACCTTGATTTTGTTGTCCTTAAGCCATTTTGCCACAACTTTGGAAGTATGCTTGGGGTCATTGTCCATTTGGAAGACCCATTTGCGACCAAGCTTTAACTTCCTGACTGATGTCTTGAGATGTTGCTTCAATATATCCACATAATTTTCCTTCCTCATGATGCCATCTATTTTGTGAAGTGCACCAGTCCCTCCTGCAGCAAAGCACCCCCACAGCATGATGCTGCCACCCCGTGCTTCTTGGTTGGGATGGTGTTCTTCGGCTTGCAAGCAACCCCCTTTTTCCTCCAAACATAACGATGGTCATTATGGCCAAACAGTTCTATTTTTGTTTCATCAGACCAGAGGACATTTCTCCAAAAAGTACGATCTTTGTCCCCATGTGCAGTTGCAAACCGTAGTCTCGCTTTTTCTTTTTATGGCGGTTTTGGAGCTGTGGCCTTTCAGGTTATGTTGATATAGGACTCGTTTTACTGTGGATGTAGATACTTTTGTACCTGTTTCCTCCAGCATCTTCACAAGGTCCTTTGCTGTTTTTCTGGGATTGATTTGCACTTTTCACACCAAAGTACGTTCATCTCTAGGAGACAGAATGCGTCTCCTTCCTGAGCGGTATGACGGCTGCGTGGTCCCATGTTGTTTATACTTGCATACTATTGTTTGCACAGATGAACGTGGTACCTTCAGGCATTTGGAAATTGCTCCCAAGGATGAACCAGACTTGTGGATGTCTACACTTTTTTTTCTGAGGTCTTGGCTGATTTCTTTTGATTTTCCCATGATGTCAAGCAAAGAGGCACTGAGTATGAAGGTAGGCCTTGAAATACATCCACAGGTACACCTCTTATTGACTCAAATGATGTAAATTAGCCTATCAGAAGCTTCTAAAGCCATGACATCATTTTCTGGAATTTTCAAAGCTGTTTAAAGGCACAGTCAACTTAGTGTATGAAAACTTCTAACCCACTGGAATTGTGATAGAGTGAATTATAAGTGAAATAATCTGTCTGTAAACGATTTTTGGAAAAATGACTTGTGTCATGAACAAAGTAGATGTCCTAAACGACTTGCCAAAACTATAGTTTGTTAACAAGAAATTGTGTGTTGAAAAACGAGTTTTAATGAATCCAACCTAAGTGTATGTAAACTTCCGACTTCAACTGTATATATATTTGCGAGAAAAAACAACATATGGGTTGATGGAATTTACAATCTATCTGCAATATTAAAGCTAATCTACCCCCTAATTTTTTTAAATAATAATAATAATAATAATCTATTCACAGTATTTCATAACATAACTATTACTGTTGGACTTCTTGTCTTACCATCATAATCAATTTTTCCATCATTGTTTTTGTCTCCATCCTTCATGAGTTCTTCAATGTCATCTTCAGTGATGGCCTCTCCAGTCGACTCCAGAATGGTCTTCAGCTCCTCCAAATCAATGTAGCCATCTCCATTTCTGTAAGCAGCATCAATGAGTACACATATCCCTGATAACACTGTACTGTACTGTACTCTAGTTACTCTGTCAACAATATACATTTTTTATTGACATGACTTTTTTAGTTGTCTATATGTTTGTCTTTATAGGTTCTTGTTAGAGTAAAAGCAAATGTTTTTTGGCAACCACTTTGTTTGATATTAGCCTTACTTGTCAAACACGCGGAAAAGTTCGGCCAACTCTTCCTCAGATTTTCCTTTGCTTTCCTCCTTCATGCAATGCACCATCATGACTAGGAACTCATCAAAGTCTACTGTCCCGCTCCCTGTAAACACAGACACACACACACACACGCTCACACGCACGCACGCACGCACACACACACACACACACACACTCACTCACTCACTCACTCACTCACTCACTCACTCACTCACTCACTCACTCACTCACTCACTCACTCACTCACTCACTCACTCACTCACTCACTCACACACACACACACACACACACACACACACTCTCACACACACACACACACACACACACACAGACACAGCAGCTGTAACATGGTGTCTTAATGTTGAAACATAGTCATGTGATAACTTCATGAGTTCCAAATGAACATTTCAGATCAGTCTGAAAACGATGTATGAACCACCCCCTCAGGCTACTTGACCTAATGATTTGGCCTGAGGTCAAATGTGTACTTCCTCATCACCTTTCCCAACTCCTTCGTGCTGATGCAGCCGTCCTCCGCATCTTGACATGCAATGTCGAAGGCTGCCTTGAACTCTGTTGGGACATAGTGGTGAGAAGCAGATTTAGTGGAGCTTATGGGTATTACTAGTGTAGAAAGCTCTCCCTCGCCCTCCATTTGGCAAATCTGACCATAATTATATCCTCCTGATCCCTGCTTACAAGCAAAAACTAAAGCAGGACGCACCAGTGATTCGGTCAATAAAAAAGTGGTCAGATGAAGCAGATGCTAAGCTACAGGACTGTTTTGCTAGCACAGACTGGAATATGTTCCGGGATTCTTCCAATGGCATTGAGGAGTACACCACATCAGTCACTGGCTTCATCAATAAGTGCATCGATTGCGTCTTCCCCACAGTGACTGTACGTACATACCCCAACCAGAAGCCATGGATTACAGGCAACATCCACACTGAGCTAAAGGGTAGAGCTGCCGCTTTCAAGAAGCGGGACTCTAACCCGAAAGCTTATAAGAAATCGAGCCTACCAGACAAGCTAAATTATTTCTATGCTCGCTTCGAGGCAAGTAACACTGAAACATGCATGAGAGCATCAGCTGTTCCGGACGACTGTGTGATCACGCTCTCCGTAGCCGATGTGAGTAAGACCTTTAAACAGGTCAACATTCACAAGGCTGCAGGGCCAGACGGACTACCAGGACGTGTATTCTGAGCATGAGCTCACCAACTGGCAAGTGTCTTCACTCTCTTCAACCTCTCCCTGTCTGAGTCTGTAATACCAACATGTTTCAAGCAGACCACCATAGTCCCTGTGCCCAAGAACACTAAGCTAACCTGCCTAAATGACTACCGACCCGTAGCACTCACATCTGTAGCCATGAAGTGCTTTGAAAGGCTGGTCATGGCTCACATCAACACTATCAACACCATTATCCCAGAAACCCTAGACCCACTGTAATTTGCACACCGCCCCAACAGATCCACAGATGATGCAATCTTTATTGCGCTCCACACTGCCCTTTCACACCTGGACAAAAGGAACACCTATGTGAGAATGCTATTCATTGAGTATAGCACAGCATTCAAAACCATAGTGCCCTCAAAGCTCATCACTAAGCTAAGGACCCTGGTACTAAACACCTCCCTCTGCAACTGGATCCTGGACTTCCTGATGGTAAGGGTAGGTAACAACACATCCGCAATGCTGATCCTCAACACGGGGGCCCCTCAGGGGTGCATGCTCAGTCCCCTCCTGTACTCCCTGTTCACTCATGACTGCATGGCCAGGCACGACTCCAACACCATCATTAAGTTTGCCGATGACACAACAGTGGTAGGCCTGATCACCGACAACGACGAGACAGCCTATAGGGAGGAGGTCAGAGACCTAGCCGTGTGGTGCCAGGACAACAACCTCTCCCTCAACGTGATCAAGACAAAGGAGATGATTGTGGACTACAGGAAAAAGAAGAGGACCCATCACACCCCCATTCTCATCGACGGGGCTGTAATGGAGCAGGTTGAGAGCTTCAAGTTCCTTGGTGTCCACATCACCAACAAACTGACATGGTCCAAGCACACCAAGACTAAGGAGACTGAAAAGATTTGGCCTGGGCCCCCAGATCCTCAAAAAGTTCTACAGCTGCACCATCAAGAGCACCCTGACCGGTTGCATCACCACCTGGTATGGCAACTGCTCTGCCTCCGACCGCAAGGCACTACAGAAGGTAGTGCGTACAGCCCAGTACATCACTGGGGTCAAGCTTCCTGCCAACCAGGATCTCTATACCAGAGGAAGGCCATAAAAATTGTCAAAGACTCCAGCCACCCTAGTCATAGACTTTTCTCTCTGCTACCGGATGGCAAACAGTGCCGGAGCGCCAAGTCTAGGTCCAAGAGGCTTCTAAACAGCTTCTACCCCCAAGCCATAAGACTCCTGAACATCTAATCAAATGGCTACCCAGAATATTTGCATTGCCTCCCCCACCACTCTTTTACGCTGCTGCTACTCTCTGTTTATTATCTATGCATAGTCACTTTAATAACTCTACCTACATGTACATATTACCTCAATTACCTTGACTAACCAGTACCCCCGCACATTGACTTGGTAGCGGTACCCCCTGTATATAGCCTCGCTATTGTTATTTTTATTGCTGCTCTTTAAATATATGTTACTTTTATTTCGTATTATTTTATATTGTATTTTTGTGTGTGATTTTTTTTGGTATTCTTTCTTAAAACTGCATTGTTGGTTAAAGGCTTGTAAGTAAGCATTTCACTGTAAGGTCTACACCTGTTGAATTCGGCGCATGTGACAAATACAATTTGATTTGATTTGATTTGATTTCTCCATAGATATGAATCGTGCAAAAGTAAAGAAGAAATGTCATGGGGTTGTTAGAGAGATTATTGTGTCCAAAAAGCAAGACTCACCATTTCTCTGCTCTTCTGTTAAGTTCTCAACCTGAAGGGAACAATGGGGCAAGTTACAAATGCAGTTATAGTGCTTTTGAACTCATCTTAGCCTACTTTATGTGCCTAAATTATGCAGGTTGGTTGGCCTCTTGTCATTTATTATTTGACAAACCACTCATAGTTGGACCACACTGGAGGCCATTGGTGGCCATTTCCCCATTATCTTGTCTCTCTTCACCTTTATCTGCAGTCAGCCCCTAGCCCTCGCAGTGTGTAATGCATTCCATTAGTACTCCAGCCCCTTCTCTCTCTCCTTGAACTGAAAACCTGTCGAGCACAGCCACCTACCCCTGGTGCAGTCTGACTGAAATGTCACGCTGCTTTCTTCACCTACTATTCTTGTCGTGTGGCGAGGGGGGGCTCTGGCACCGACTCCACTGACGGACATTTGTTTGAGCCGACAGCTCTCTACACTTTTCTTCCTCCTAATCGTCCTTTGTTCTATAGTTGTCAGGTAGAGAAATGCCAGAAATCCCATCTAAACACACAGCACGTCATCTGGGTCCTCAGAGAAGCTAATGATGAGCTCAAATGATCATAATGACATGACAATGTGCTTTCTGTTGTGCTAGCACAGGGATAATTCAAGTTTAATTAACTTTTTCAGAATAGCTGGGCTCATAGAACATGAATAACTTTGTGTTTAACCTTGGTGAGTCCTGGTACTTGTAAGTTGCTCATTCAAAAGATACAATGTTGAATTTCTATTGACTTTACAACTCTTGTGGTGAGATAATGTATTGATACACTGAGCTCTGCTAACAATTATGTTAGAAGGACAATATCCTTTTCTCAATTGGACAATAATGGTCAACACATTCAGAAAAGCTCTGCTGGCCCTTCTCGATTACTCTCCTCTACAAAAAGAGAGTGTTGAATGAATGTTGTGCTTTCCCATCACATGACCATGTTTAGTTGGGTCTTCACACTCAATATTACTGCATTTACTTTTGACCATGTCTATATGTGACTACCAATCCGTTTCCTTTTACGACCTCTTGGTTTGTCAAAGGTATCTTGGGGATACCGAAATCATCATTTACAACCCGGTAGCTCTCGTGAAATATTTCTCGAATTGAGCTTGACTGGTAAACCCATTTCTCGCTTTTCACAGCTCTTGGAAGCGGATTAGGGCTTCTTGATGTCATCAATGTCTAATTCAGTCAAACAGCTAGAGATGGCTTTCCTCAGGGCCCATTAACCTCTATTATCCTCTGGCTCGTGTCCAGAGAGTGTGTACTGGAGCATATAGCCATTGTGTGAAATGTGTTAAACATAACACCACAGTCATGACGGGCTGTTATATTCCTGTAAGTCACTTATCCAGAGTGACTTACAGGAGCAATTAGGGTTAAGTGCCTTGCTCAAGGATTTTTCACCTAGTCGGCTAGGGGGATTCGAACCACGATCTTTCAGTTACTGGCCCAATGCTCTTAACTGCTAGGCTACCCACTCCACAACCTGAGCCAACAAACCCCAAAGAAAAAGCATGTGATTTCATAACAGTGCCTTGTTTTTGGCTTGTCCAGCCACAGTACACCCAGGTACGCCAATGAGGGAAGTTTGAGATCATGACCCTCCTTCCTCCTTAGTATATCAGATGAAGACTCCTAGCTAACCTCAGTCAATCGATTCTAACTGTCCTCGACATAAACTATCTAGCATTCCCCTGTGTCACCTAACTACCACCCTGCAGGTTTCGTCCCTGTATCTGTACTCACCGCTGCTTTGTATACATCATCCATGGCTGCTGGCCTGCCTTTGTCTCTGTCTCAGTCACCGGAACACAACGATGCTCCCACAAATGCCTCAGACACAGGACAAAGGATAGAAGCAACAAAGCCTGCTCCAGCCTTTATTGTTAGGGGTGTGTTGTGTTAAAAAAAACTTCTGAACCCCCTCTCTGCGTCATCCCACTGTTCCCATCACGAGAGAGAGATATCTATAAATAGAAGAAGAACAGAGATGGTCCAACAAAAGGAGAGCCTAGGCAGTGGCACCTAAATTGGTGACATGTATTGTCTCCAAGCTAGATCTAGACCGAACGTGATACCAAGTAGGAATACATTTTTTTAAGGCTGTCAAATCAGTACACTCATTTGTTTTATGCCAATGTGGTTGTTTTGGACATAACAGCAATTTCTTAGTAAAATAATGATCTTTCACAAACAAGATTTGGGGATTTGTTGGGGATTTGGTGGCCTCTCCACACTGGTCTGTGGGGAGAGAAATTAGTTCTTATGTGTTGTCGGCTATGGAGATAATAGCGAACACTGTGTATGAAGTGTATACAGTACAAATAGTCTTTATGGTGTTAAGAGGGGGTTTAAACTACAGTTGGGCCTAAGTGGAGGGCTGCATAAGTGAAGCCCTGTCTATCATAAGCTGTATGAATGTCCTCAAAATACACGAAGTCAACACAGAGGCATCAAATGTACATTTCTTTTTAATTGTTTAAGCTCTTCATATTCTGTAGTTTTTAAGGATTATTCAAAAGCAATCACATGAACACTAGATGTATTGGTCTGCACGTTCCCTATATTCTTGATAGGCCTATAAATGTATAATATGTTTAGCTACATATACTTTATACAGCGAACTTCTGAAATCAGCAAAGAAAGAGGAAGATAATTCCCTGACAATCGGTGGGTGAAATGGGCACGGGAAGTCATTATGACAATAGATAAATACAGTTGAAGTCGGAAGTTTACATACACCTTAGCCAAATACATTTAAACTCAGTTTTTCACAATTCCTGACATTTAATCCTAGTAAAAATTCCCTCTCTTAGGTCAGTTAG